CATGCCTCTGGCGCTATTCGAGAAGTCTGCCGAAGCCCTTTTCGTCCGAAGCCGCTCTCAGCTAGCTACAGCAGTCTCGCACCCCGCCGGCAGAAGTGCCCTCGATCACCAGCATTTCAGCCATCGTGGGCGGGCCGTCTCGTAAGGTGCCCTCAATCAGTCGAGAGCATGGCCGCAGGCTCGTGGTCTTCCGAGAGCGTGGGACGGCTCACTCAGACCAACAGCCTTGGCCAGAGTAATCAATCACTGCAATGGTGCCGTCCGCCCATCCGCGCCGTTGTCGATAATTACGCAAAGCAAGGCCGATCGCCAGGACGTCAGGCTGGCTCAACAGTAAGATAGGGCCAGGTGCCGGCGGCGTGGAGCTCAGCAGTCCACTGCCTGCTGGCCAGCGTGCATGCTGGGACGACTCGAGCTGCAGCAACTACGCTGCACCTCTCCGCAGACAGCTAGTTTCGGAACGGGAAGCTTGTCAGTGCACAGTGCGTTCCCAGCCCTACCGGCGGCCCAGGCAAATCATGTTCAATGTTCCCCACGTACCTCCAGGCGCTCGCTTGCAGCCCTTAATGAATCGTTAGTCACGCTGAGCGCCTCGATCGTTTGGCCAACGAGCGCTCGCGGTCGCCCAGAGATCGGCTCGGAGAGGGGGAATGGGTGCACCACGCTGAACCTGCCGCGAAACCAACGGGTGGAGGCTGCGATCAATCGCATGCACTGCAGGGTGTACATGAGCGATGGCCTGCACTATCTCCGGTGGCTGACACGATCAGTACGGTGCGATCTGGGAGCGTACGTCGTAGCTCTCTCTTGTGGGACTCTGGAGACGCGTCGGCACAATCTCGAAGGGAGAGTGAGGCACTGGCATGTTGTAATTGGGTGCCGCCCTGTAATGCGAGTCTATTTTCGTCTAACCGGATGTGTAGCAGACGACGACTTGTTCAACCTCGTACTGCAACAGAAAACAGGAGAACTCCATGACTGAGGCACCGGATGCTACCCAGCTCCACAGACCAGTGCCCTGTGCTCGTGCTGCCATGCCCATGGCAAGGGCTGCGATCGTGGTTCGACGTGCGGAATGTGCCGTAGCTCGCGCCGCATGGCTAGCCCTACAGATAGAATTCCAGTTCTGACCTCGTCCAACCAGCCTCTCGGCTCTGTTGCCGCTCGGCTGTAATTCAGGTAATTTGAGCAGGTCCTGAGGAGTGCAAGATGGACAGCAGATGCCCTGCAGCCTTGGTCGCAGAGAAATTGCGATATCGACCCTGCAGTAATATGTGATGTTCGCTGTCGTTCTTGGCTGCCTTTGACGAGTGATCGGCCATGCGTCGCCCACAGGGTTGTGGCGTGCGGGACGAGCGCCCAGCGAAGCATCGCACGGCTACGACTTTTCCCTGGACCATGGGCTCTAGTATGAGAAATACGAAGCTCCCCGTTTGCTCGCCGACGTCTAACCTTCATCGCTGCCAACATCTGGTTCGCGCCTGCCCAAAGCAGCACGCGAGCCGCTTAGCGGGCCACTCATAATTGGCCGAGCAACCTCGGTGAAAACTCGAATCTCGTGCACATCAGCATTCACCACTTTGCGCTGTTGCTGTTTCAACCCTCGACCTCATCTCCGGTTCCCCGACCATTCTCGGAGTCTCCTGCAGCTGGCCGTCATGGCTCTCATCGACAAAGTGCCGGGCGAGTTGAAGCTATACATTGGTGGGTACGTAATGCAGACCACTGTTTCGCAATCCCCACAGCCGCCTGGGGCCATACACAGTACTGTAGGGGGATCATGTCTCCTATTCTGACAGTCTGATGTAGCATGTTCACACTGCGGCGACGGGAAGCACTGCAGCAAGCCAACATTACTCATGTCTTATCGGTGCTGCGGTCGCCCCTCGACCAGGAGCTGTTCCGCCCGTTCAAAAAACACATGATTGTGGAAGTGGACGATGTCGAAGACGAAAACCTGCTAGAGCACCTACCTGCAACCAACCGGTTCATCAAGGAAGGTCTTGACGGTGGTGGCGGTGTTCTTGTGCATTGGTGAGTACGCCCCCGGTCGAGCTGAGACGTGCATGTCAACCCTCGATCAACGCCAATGGTTGCCTCTCTTGGCGACTTTGCCATCTTCGCCGCAACAGACGGCCCAATGCCACTGTTCTCTGCAGCATACCAGGTCTTCTTGATCTTGCTTTACGCGCGTCCGTCAAACATTCTCGCAGATTTTTCCCTGTCTCTTCGCACCTGCCGCATTTTGAGAAGTTTTCCCCACACCGCTCGTTTGCCACTTCGTTTGAAGCCACTCGTGTCAACATGCCAACCAATCTCTCGCGTCTAGTGCTATGGGCAAATCACGGTCAGCTACTGTCGTCATTGCATACTTGATGCAAGAGTACAGCATTAGTCCATCGGAAGCATTGTCGCACCTCCGGCAAGCGCGATCGATCTGCGAGCCAAACGAAGGCTTCATGAAGCAACTGGAACTCTACAGCGAGATGCACACGCCCGAAGATGTTGAACAGACGCCAGCCTATCAGCGTTGGGTATATCAACGCGAGATCGAGCTGAGCCGCGCTTGCGGACAAGCCCCTGAAGCAGACAAGATCCGCTTCGAGGACGAGCATATTACCGATCAGAAGTCCGCCTTCGAGCTCAGATGTAGGAAGTGCAGGTGAGTGAGACATCGTGCCGCCATCTGTTCAATTCGGCACTTACAACCTCATAGGCGTCCACTTGCAACATCGCAATATCTGCTCCCACACCCGTCGCCGTCGATCGAAAATGATCAGAGCGCAGAAACAGTGCCCAACGCCGCAAAGCGCGACTGTGCACACTACTTCCTGGATCCTCTCTCATGGATGCGACCCGAGCTTGAACAGGGGAAGCTAGAAGGGCGTCTTGAGTGCCCCAAATGTCAGACTAATGTGGGTAAGTATGCATGGCAGGGCATGCAGTGTAGCTGTGGAGAATGGGTCGTCCCTGGTATCAGCCTATCGAAGAGCCGCATCGATGAGGCACGCAAGTCCACAGTCGGGATTCGACGCCCACCAGGTGCCGTGAGTCTGCCTGCACAGGAAGGAAGTCTCCCGAAGCAGAATCTATGAGGTCAATTCAAGTAGCATTCGGCTTAGCTGCCTGAAGTCCTCAGCCGCAATTGCGATCAATCACCAGGCCGCGACGGCCTGACCATAGCAAATTCCAATGGAGTGTTGCTGTGGACCACAGCCTCGGCTAGCACTTTTGCGAAGCTCGGCAGATATACAAGAAGCATGACTATCACTAGCCAGTTGGCTCACGTTATAAGTTCTAGAGCTCAGGCCGCATATTCGCACCGGACTGCCACATTTCGGCGATATCCTTATTGTCCTGAAGAAAGCCTTGCAGACCAGGTCACGGCGATGCGGCAGCATTCCAGTGACATGGCGACAAATGATAGGACGGAAAAGATATTCACAATGATTATTGTGGAGCAGCGTGACATCTTTTGCCAATACACCCTGCCTTCTGCGTGGAGAGATTAAGCTTGGTATGCTTGGTATTTGCTAATGTCGGCTGCCTGGTTCAGGGAACGTGCTCAACCGGATAGAAGCAATAGCCGCATCTCTTATTCCCGAGGAGCTGCGAGATTGCGAGAATGCCCGGTCGCAGTACCCGGATTGTTCTGCGCGTGATGTTGCGGGCAGACCTCCAAGGTATCGGACGATCGCCTCACTAGCAACGACCCCATCTGACAAGATCAACACCGGTCTCTTCGACATACCATATCTACAAGGTAAATGCTAGGACGTCCTCTTTCCGGTACGAAGATAGCACGAGCCGCATCACGAGCGCGCTTACGAGCGCGCACGGCGCGTTTCGATCGGATCTGTGAAGTGTAGGCATCACGAGGACCTCGATACCACGGGGTCATTTGATTGGAGCAGAACTTAAATAAGGCAGTGCGCTCCACCCGTATCTCGACACCTCCAACGTTGCCCCTGAGTCTGAGTAAGGCCTCAGTCATACAAACACGTCCCATTGTGGCGACTCAACACGCACGCAGAGGATTGACTAAGCACATTAGCCACAACACCAGGAACACGAAACTTCAATGAACACCAAACACGAGCCGCGTAACGCGAAGACCTGCATACACGATACGATCTCGATCGCGCCGTTGTCGCCGTTGTCTCGGAACACGGCCCTGCGGCAGGGCAGACGACCACGATAGGACATTGCTCAGATGAGAGCTGTCGATAATAGATCTGCGCCATTTCTGGGTGAGCTTGCGGTAAGTTCGTACCGCTGAGCCTTGTAAGGAGTGCGGATAAGCTGCGCAAGCTTCGCGCGGCAGTGGACACAAGGGAGCCTTTCCCGCAGAATTGGTAACTTCCATATCCGTGATGGTGGATTTGATACACGAGGAGTCGATCCCTTGTATGCGCAGTATTTGAGCTGCAGCCTGATATGTTTCTCGGGGTGGCCGTGGACATAACTCTGCAATTAAAGCGGCACTGTCTGAGATGTGCTCTGGACTGCCGTGTGGTTTGATCACGGACTCAGAGGTGCTTTCTAGTATAGCCCTATTACAGGATATGCTCGAGATATGCTCGAGATATGCTCCCTATCATCAGGTTCCAATCCCTTGTGCAACTTGTGCCTTCTCAACCTACACGTGCACAACTACCGCCATCGTTAGCAGACCCCATACATAACCTTCGACCAATCTTTGCACTATCCAAAATATTGATGCCGGCGTGTGACGTCTTGTTAGTGCACCATATATGGTAAGACTAACACATCATATTTGATATAGCACAAACCAAGTTGCCTCACACTCAAAAATCTCGGCCATTCATCGCGCTCTCAATCACTAACTAGTATCTTCTGCATTTGCGAATCGAGTTCGTATCTACTAAATTTTGATATTGCTGCTGATGCCATCATGCCGACTGGCCGGAATGAACCATTCCCATTGAACCTCCACTGGCAAAGTAGGAGCTAAAATAATGCAAAACAAAATAATGTGTTGATCTCCCCGTGAATTGAACACGGGACCTCCAAATTTGGAGCGAACTGGCATGCCGCGGTACACGCCAGCCGGTCTGCTCCAGTAAACCCTTGGTGCGCTACCACTGCGCCAGGAGATCATTGGGTGAATTAATGGTAGCAGTGGTGAGATATTCGATATATGTACGCGATCTAGCTAGCATGGACAGCGTTCGTTGTGTTTGTGTTCAGGTGAGTGAGAGTCGAGTAGGTGGTCACATGATGTCAAACCTTGAGACAAGGACAAAGTCATGATACTGTTCCATGACATCTGCGTCTTGATTGATCGTTATTCAAATAGTCCCAACCATTTTGTATATACAAACTCGCTCCAAAACGCCGTCCCTCTCCACCTCACTCACTTAATCACTCAACTCACTCTCCCTCGTAACCTCCTCCTTCAGCTCGCGTCCCTTCATCGCCAACAAGTTCAATGCACTACCGGCAAGTACGAATCCGCACTGGTCTTCACTAAGAGTGTGCTTCGTCTTGACCACCTTTTCGCTGCCGTCCTTCTTCTTGATTACCAACTCGACCTGGCCCTTGCCGCCGCTCTTCAACACGTCAAGTAAGCCACGTGTGCTGACATCGTCGCAAGCATCGAACAGATCGTAGTCGGCTTCATTGGCGAAAGTTAGGGGCACAATACCCTGCTTCTTGAGATTTGTCTCGTGGATGCGCGCGAAAGATTTTGAGATGATAATCCTGCCGCCGAGATACCTAGGCTGCAATGCGGCATGTTCACGTGCTGAACCTTCGCCGTAGTTGTGTTCCGCAACGACGAGCCACTCGATGCCCTGGTCTCTCCACTTCTTGGCGAGATCTGGGATGCCTGATGTTGAGCCGTCGACGTCGTATGCGACGTTCACTTCGTCGGTTGCTGCGTTAACAGCGCCGATGAGGGTGTTTTCCGAGATGTTGGGGAGATGGCCTTTGTATTTGAGCCACGGTCCAGCGGCGGAGATGGTATCCGTGGTGCATTGCCCCTTGACCTTGTACAGGACACGCATGCCCTGGAGCTCGGAGCTAGGGAAGGCTGGGAATGGGTCGAGAAGTGCTAGACGGGTTGATTTGGGGTCGACGAGGACGCTGACGGTTGGGTCGGGAACGCCAGGGGTTGGGAGGAAGTCGGGATTGCCTTCCGCAAATCCTGCTGATGGTAGGTCGGAACCCTTTGGTGGCGTGAATGTGAATGGTTTACCATTTGGCGTAGGAATGCTGTCGGTCATGGGGTTAAAGGTGGTTTCGCCAGAGTATGCCATCGCAGTGATGAGTTCAGGAGAAGCGAGGAAGTTCATGGTGGCTCGGTTGCCGTCGTTTCGGCCTGGGAAATTGCGGTTGTAGGATGTGAGGATGGCATTGGCCTCGCCCTTCTTCACGCCATCTGTGCGAGTCCACTGGCCGATGCAGGGTCAAAAACTTGGTTAGCACAACGAAGACCTTCAGGATCACAGATCAGTACTCACCCACAAGCGTTTGCCAAAACAGTGCCGCCAGCATCAGTGAATGTCGAGAGAGTGTTATCCCGATCGAGCGTCGCTCTGATTTGCTCGCTGCCGGGTGTGATGAAGAAGTCTGCCTTAGGCTTGAGACCTGCTGCCGATGCCTGCTTAACGATCTCTTCGGACCGAGTCATGTCCTGGTATGAGCTGTTGGTGCAGCTACCAATGAGTCCGGCGCCGAACGTTCTTGGCCAGTCTTTCTCTTCCACCAACGACTTGAACTTGGAAAGGGGGGTGGAAAGGTCAGGGGTGAAGGGTCCATTGATGTGAGGCTCGAGCTCCGAGAGGTTGATTTCGATAACCTGGTCGTAAACAGCTTCCGGGTCTGGTCGAAGAAGGTTTTGTTCCATCGGTAGGCTGGCGATTGCCGAAGCCTCGTCGGCAATTGGGCCACGGTGGGTTGCTTGTAGATATGGAACGTGTGCGGGAGAGAAGGGGAACAATGAGGTTGTTGCGCCGACCTCAGCTCCCATATTACAAATTGTGGCCATGCCTGTGCAGCTGAGGGTTTGCACACCAGGTCCGAAGTACTCGATGATGGAGCCTGTACCTCCCTGCAATGCATTAGCCTGAAGGTCCTCACGACACTATGACTTTTACTTACGCGGACTGTGAGCTTGCCAGCAAGATGGAGAATCACGTCCTTTGGTGAAGCCCACCCACTGAGCTCGCCCGTAAGCTTAACACCCAAAATCTTTGGTGCTTTCAGTTCCCATGGTGCGTCCACAAGTGCATCGACTGCATCGGCACCGCCAACACCAATCACAATTGCTCCGAGACCACCAGCATTTGGTGAATGGCTGTCTGTACCCAGCATCATGAGTCCGGGCGCGCTGTAGTTCTCCAGGACAGACTGATGGATGATTCCTGCACCTGGTGGCCAAAATTCGATGCCGTACTTTTTCGCCGCCGACTCCAGAAAGTCGAACACCTCCTTGTTACCCTTGATCGATTGAGGCAGATCGGTGTCTGCGCCTTTCTCGCCCTGTACGTAAAAATGTCAGTGCCTTGCTCAAAACATTCAGAGATCGCCGCATCGGATAATCTGTGGCCATGTTCTGCGAAGTCGCCTTCACACATGCCTGGAGGTATCCGTAGCACTCTACCACCCCGATCGCGACCAAAATGGTACTCACCACAATCATGTGGTCGCAGTGGATGCTCGCTGGCACCGCTGTGCTCGGTAATCCGCAGCTCATGAACTGCAACAATGCCATTTGCGCACTCGCATCTTGCATGGCCACGCGATCGGGCTTCAGCTTCAGATTCGCCTGTCCCCTGATATCCTTGCCATTGTTCGTGTTTGATAACAGCGACTCCTCTGGATTATCGAGATGCGAGTAGAGAATCTTTTCCGCGAGGGTGAGCTGGCGCGAAGAGCCCAGAACTCTGCGTACTTCCTTGAGCCGTCCGAGGAGCTTGGGGTAAGGCGGGGTGCGCGATGCGATGTCGATGTTGCGCGCAGAGGGGACGGCATGGGAGGTTGCGAGACATCTTCGGGACACAGGTGATGTGACAAGGTGGGAGGACGAGAGGCGTGGCTGGTAGAGTCAGTTCTGCTATTTCATACAGTTCGTATCTGCAAATGCGCCTATGACTGCGAGTTGTATTCCAGTGACATGCCAGCTCACTACCATTACAGCATCATAGAACGACCAATGGTATACAAGAATTACCCACACTGCAATTAGCGGCCTGGCCAGCTCGTAGCACTTGCGACCGCATCTTTGAAGCTTGTCCGGTAAATTGACGCGGTGCAGGAAGGCGATGGCGCTGCACACAAAAAGTTCCCCGAAGCGAGATCGGCCGCACGCGACTGCTGCTGAGCCGAGGAGCGGCAGGGGTTCTCCAGACCCCGCTCCTGGCCAATCCCACGCAAGCTGGAAGTAAGCGTCCTGATCTCATCAACACCAGAAATATATCCCAAGAGGTTTTCAAGCACAATCGTACCACGACTAATTTCTCGCTTGATTCACCTACACAAGACTAGCATATTCACGTTCTGCGTTGATACATCTTACCACTCCTTCCCAAGACACTCAAGAGTCGGTTACTCCAACATGCACTATGGGCGCGATTCTTCAGCTATAACTTCGTCCACTCACATCGCCACTTCCAGCCGGCTGGAAGCACCACATCAATTGTCTGGTCCGCATTCCCGATTTCGTCACGGAGATCGCCCACCATCAAGCCACTAGGAGCCATAACATGCATGCGAGCATTGTCTATAATCATGGATCCTCTGAATCTTCCTAGAACAGGCGGCAGCCAGTCCGCCTCGCCATGGATAATCGAGACATCAAAATACGATGCAAGCGTTGTAGAACGAGCATATCCAAGGATTTTCTCCGCTAATTGGAAAAGCATTCGTCGGCTACATTTGCAATTACTTTCTACTGTACATCTGTGGGCGAGGTCATCATGCCAACGCTGCTGCCCAAGCGCCCGTGACCCCCAAATGTGTTGTTCAAAAGTACCGGAACTTCATGAAAATGACGGTCATTCATACAGCCGACTACAATCCGGACTTTCCATCACGGAAGTCGCAGGATTGCGCAATTGTGTAATGTCGTCCCACTACTCTAGCAGTCTTCAATGGATACTTCAATGCATGCAGCATGCACCTCGAGGCCGCGGTGCGGAATAATTGGTCTTGACAGGTCGTCTGACCGCCTTGCTAATCAAGCCGCTGATGGCATATGTAGTTTGCTCACGTCTATCATTCGCAAATGCTTAGCGATATAAGATGTGCGTGCACCGGCGCGATCGAATAGCTTTCATTCCGCTGCAAGGATCGAAGGTCAACACGGCATTCGTCAAATTCTGCGTGTACAGTCAACTCTGATCTATTCCTAGGGTCCACTCCAAGGTTCTGGTACCAGCCCGATGGCTCTAGGAAGCAGACATCGTGGTACCTGAGAATCAACGTAATTTGATAGGGCGCCGAAAGTCGATCGAATCGCATATCTCTACAACGATCATCCGTCGACTGCGGCTTCATGTCATCCAATGGCCCCGACGCCGTAGCTCCAGTAGGCAAGCCCTCCAAGTCAGCGCCCACTTGGGTTCCTCAAGAAGCAGGCGAAGAAGCAACTCGACAGGAAATGCGCCGGCGCTGGACCAGAGTAACGCGAGTGCACCTGCGTGGGCGCCGGCGACAAGTTCTGGGCGTGTCAAGAATCACGGATGGGGTTAGACTCACAGACACAACCATGGATACCAAGAGGTGCATCAGCAAGAAGAGGAAGAGTCGGATTTGCAAGAGGAGAGTGACTTGGGCGCGGAACAAGAGCCTGAGTCGAGTTCGGAGGAGAAGTGTGATGATGATGATGGCAGGTACTTTGACTTTTAAGGGTGAGTGAGTGTTGAGAGGACGAGGGGGGATCTGGAGGGTCATGGAATCTAAGATCATCTCTTACGATAATACTAGTGATTTTCATGGTGTCGTTTGGTCAAAGTGACTGAATGTCAGGTTCTCCTGAGGTATTGAGATGTATGCCGTTCGTTGAGGTGAGAAGGAACAAGCTGGGGAAAGATTTTAGGGCACGTTCTCCTTGGTCCTCAGTACACCCACCAATTCACATCTTAACGGCTTATAC